TCTCGGTTTTTCTAGCTTTGTCTAGCAGTCCCTAGCTTTTCGTGGCATGTCGGGGTCTGAGGCCAGGAAAACCTAGCGAGAGGAGGTCTGAGTCTCGTAGCGCAGGCCCTTCAAGGGCATACTTCAGGGTTTAGGGTTTAGGGTTTAGTGTTTAGAGTTTAGGATTTAGGGTTTAGGGTTTAGGGTTTAGGGCACTACAGGAAATCTGTAGCTTGTCTTAGCTTATTTTCGCTTATTTTAGCTTCTCTTAGCTTGTCGTAGCTTAGCCTAGCTTCCCTTAGGTTTTCTGTAGAAAAACGTGGAAAGCTAGATTTTTTACTGTTACTCAAAGAGACACCCTTTTATTGAGATACCTTATCCGCGTTGATGATTTTTGACATGAACAATAGTTAGGTATCTCCGCGAGCGCTCTCCATCAAAGGTTTCGGCGCCCAACGCGGCGCGGGCCGACATTGCACCGGGGCTGAGACGCCTGGCGTGAGTAGCTCTGTCCTTTTGGGGCTTTGGGGGTTGCTGGAGGGCTTCATTAAGGGATCCTTTAGGGGTTCCTTTAACGAATTCTTTAGGGGCTCGAGGGGTGCACGGCCCATCCAACCATCCGAAGCCTAGGTTTTAAGTTCTTTGCGGCTGAAGCCTCAGGTCCTAAAGCTACAAGTATAGTTCTACAGAGGCTGGTTGACGTCTTCAGAGGGGGAATGCAAACCGGAGACCCCGAATGAGGTCCAAATTCTGACAACCCCAGACTATGAAATCCCCGCCCCTCCAGCATCCCTTACCATCGACCCCTCCACCATGGCTTTAGAGATACGCGACTGCAGGGGCTTTCTAGTCCTTGCGCCCAAGACGAACTTGAAGCCAAGGCTATGTGGAAAATCCGGTGGCCGGGAGCCCCAGCAAGTGAAAGGTCCAGGATGATCGCATATCGACGCTTGCACAAAAGAGTCACGAGACCTTGCTCCAGAAACCCCCCCCCTCCCGCCACGTCTTAAGACCCCTAGACTCAATAGCACTGACCCTCAGCCACGGTTTAGGGTTTAGGGTTTAGGGCTCCCTAAACCCTAAACCCGTAACCCGTAACCCTAGACTCAAAAACACTGAACCTCAGACTTGAAAACCTAAGTTCTAGACCTGAAAGACAAAACAGACCCGAAAGCAGCGAACCCTAGACCCTAAACCCTAAACCCTAAACCCTAAAACCCTAAACCCTGAACCCTAAACCCTAAACCCTAGACCCCAGACCCGGCAGCCTACACCCAACCGTAGACGTGAAAACCCAAATAAAGAGGCTTGAATAATTGCTATGATTACCTGTAGTCTCCATTGTAGTTCCTTTTGGGGGTTACCTTTTAGGATCCTTAATATAGAAACGGTTAAACAAAAAAAGGAACTACAATGGAGACTATAGGTACCTTATAGGGTTCCTTGAACTGGTTAACCCATACTGAGTGCCCCGAAACCTCATACGGATATTATTCAGGCAGCGCTAACCTCTGCACCATCCTAAACCCGAAACTCCAAAGCCCAAAAGGTGCTCGGTAGCCATATAGTAGAGAGTAGGGTTTCTTTGGTAGGAAGTGTTACCATGAACGGGGCCGGAATCCCCCATAACAGTACCTAAGACCCTTTGGGTAACTACCACACCCTAAACCCCTAAACCCTGTACCCTAAACCCTAAACCCCTAAACCCTAAACCCTAAACCCTAAGCCCCTAAACCCCTAAACCCTGAGCCCCTAAACCCCTAAACCCTGAACCCTAACTACAGGGCTGCCTTGTCAAGGCCAAAACTCGCCCGGAGCTGAAGGCGCAGCGCCGGGAGCAAATGGTGGAGGCTCTCGAGGCCCGGGTGGCTTCCTGTAAGGGTTCCTTCAATGGGTTTAGGGTTCAGGGTTTAGGGTTTAGGGGTTTAGGGGTTTATTGCATGAGGTTTTGGGGCTCAAAGGATACTGTCCTGTATGAAGATTTAACGTTCACTGGGCTTGGGGCTAACGACGGTGAGGTTTTAAGGTTTATAGGGCATTAGGGTATAAGGTTTAGAAGTAATGTGGTTTGGGGTTTTAGGGTTTAAAGAGTACAGTATAGGGCTTCAGGTTTAATTACTCGAGCTTGGGGTTTAGGGCTCATAAGCCAGGTTTTTTACAAGTCCTGCGTTTTGTCTCTTGAAAATGCTAGCATGCGGCTTCAGTACAACTTTCGGAACCTCAACCCTGCAGGCCTAAATCCTGAATTCCTCAACCTAAACCCCCGGGAATTTGCCGCGAACCGGACACCCCCTGAACCAGCAAACACGCTAACCCTAAACCCTAAACCCTAAACCCTAAAACCCTAAACCCCTAAACCCCTAAACCCTAAACCCTAAACCTTAACCTGAACCAGCAAACACGAATAAACGCTCTTTGAAAGAACCGGCACCTCCCAGGCCTCTAAACATCTCCTGGCCTAAACCCTGAACCTTAGACCTTACCTTAAGTACCCAAAACCTACTTTGTTGTAGGGTCCCTATAAATCCCATATTCGGGTTTATAATAGGAACCTACAAACAAGTGGGTTTTAGGTTCTTAATGTACACCTTTGTCCTTGGACTATTTTCCCGAAAGCCCCGGAGTGGTATCGCCCTCATGAGATGTGCGGGGCCTCTGAATGACTCGAGAGCTATACCAAAAGCGGCGCAGGCTTAGTGGCTTAATAAGTACGAGCCCGAGCCTGAGTAGTGACCACATCTGTTCCCATAAGCAAACATACCAGAACATGGCAAAAAACCCTGGCTTTGTACGATGCTATTATATGCCCCAAGCCCTTGTTCCAATTCTTGAAGCCTTTACCCATAGGCCATAGGCCCCAGAGTAGTTTTTTGGGGTTCATATTTAGAATCCTATCAGGTAATCCCAAAAAGGAACTACTATGGGGCCTATGGGTATATTAGTTGGATGCCTGGCTCGACTAGTTTCTGTTGTCCTGGGGTTGCCTTTGCAACTGGAGTTCCGGGTTCAGGATTCAGGGTTCAGGGTTCAGGGTATAGGGATTAGGGTTCAGGGTTTAGGCTTCAAGGTTTAGGGTTTACGGGCTGGTGGGGTCAAAATGGCCTAAAAGCAGTCGCCATCACCCCGCAACAAATAGCGCAACAAACTCGACACTCCAAGCACTACCTAGACGGATATACCCTGGCCTTTGTTTACGGCGCCTAGTTTCATGATTAGGATCTGCTATATAGAAAATCCGGTACTCCCAAACAGGGGTATAAGGTATGTACGTACACTGTACACAACCCACTGCTTGACGCAAGGCAGCTCGGGAAGAAGGTCTTAACAACTACGTGCCTCCGCAGGCCTGTGCAGGTCTTCGGAGGTCAGGGTCGGTGCAGGGGTTACGGTTTAGGGTTTAGGGTCTAGGGTTTAGGTTAGGGGTTTAGGGTTTCGGCGCCTAGGGCTTTGGGCTTTGGGTTTGCGGGCACCTGTAAAGGGCTTGGTGTACATACTTTCTGGGGCCAAGGTACATCCTAAACGTACACCGTGCACCCATAAACTCAAGCCCTGAACGCTTAGACTCTTAGACTCGGAAGCCCTGAAGCCTCGAACGCTCTACAGCTAGGTGTTGAGGCTTAGAGTGCAGGGTGTATGATTGACGAACCCCTTCTTTGAAGGATCAACGTGGTATCATCCCTCTCAGAATCATGATTACCCATAGGCCCCATAGTAGTTCCTTTTTGGGATTACCTTATAGGATGATAAATATGAACCCCAAAAAGGAACTACTTTGGGGCCTCTGGGTAGGGGAACGAGTTCTGTGCAATTCAGGGTTTGCCACTTTCACGTTTAGGGCCAGAGGCCAGGTTTCAAGGTTCGCGAGAGGAAGAATGGCATCAGGTCTGTCTCTCAGGGGAGTTTAGAGTTTCGGGAACCAGACTGGGGGTGTTTGCATGATTGTGTGCAGGAGAACAAGCAGGGTGCATAGCAGAAGCCTGCTTCAGCGCCGTATATAAATCTCACGTTTCTGGTGCCTGGTAACTGCCTCCTAACCACACTGATAGGCTGTGCAAGTAAGTTCTGTCAACAAATCTGTCTCGCGATACATGTGTGTATATATAGATATAGATTATATGCGCACAGAGACAGACAGACTGACAGACAGACACACAGACACACAGACACACAGACATACACATAGACATTGGGGGTTTGTGTTCGAGTCAGTCGTATGACCATCAGCTGAAGCTGTTATATGGAGAGTTGCGTTGAGGGGGACGAGGTGTAGACTTAAATGCTAAATTGCTAAACAAGAGCTAAACCCGAAACTCCTAAATCGACGTTCTGCATCAAGTCCTCCGCCAGCCTACACCCAAAACAGCCCAAACGTTGGGATTGTAGCCTCTGCCCTGAACCCTAAACCCTAAACCCCGACAGCTGCGTCTTGCCAGGTACGCCACGTGCGCATGGAACATCAGGACTACGAGGCACTGCTCCGAGTTTGGGGCGTAGGGATCGAGGGTTTAGGGTTTGGGAAAGGCTCCCAGTTCAGAGGTTTTGGGGGGTACTTAAAGGCTCATAGGGCTTAGTAAGGTTACAAGCGTAAGGTGCATAGTAATTAGGATAACCCTTATTACTTAGGGCGGCTGTAACCCCAAATGCAACCGTACTTCAAAAAAACCTGGAGCCCTCAAGTAGCCCTCAGTCAACCCGAAGTCAGCGTTTCAAAACGTAAGCCCCAAACAACTCAAACCCAAGCCCTACCTTAACCCCAAAGAACCTACCTTTTTAAAGACTTATATAAAGAAATCATAATAAGAAAGAACCTACCTTTTTAAAGACTTATATAAAGAAATCATAATAAGGAGCCCTGAAAAGCTAGGTTCTCTAGGGTCCAGGTAACCGCATTCTGCTGTTCGTGACCCCATAAAAAGTTAGGGTTTAGGGTTTAGGGGTGACCCCCTAAAAAGTTAGCAATGACCATTTCCATTTTCTAACCACGGACACCCCCCTAGCACCCAAGCCATAGCAACCTATACCTCAACCCTAAACCCACCGAAAGACCCATAGGAAAGACCCACCTGAAGACCCAACACCATAACAACCTATGCCTCAACCCTAGCTCACCAAAAAAATCCAACCTAAGACCCACATGATGGAACCACCCGAAGAACCATACACCATCACATAGAAAAACTCCAACCTCAACCCCATACACCCACACCTCCATAGAAAAACCCACAANNCAACCCGAAATCCCTAACCCTAGAAAATGGAAATGGTATTCTCTACTGAAATATATCTATAATAGGAATAAGGTGTGGGATTAAGGTAGTAACCAATCATAATATTATTTCGTCTATAATATTATGGTTGTTTAAGGCAAATTTTCATAACCCTACGCCATCCCAGCTTTCTTGAAGTTGCTGCTTCATTTTATAATACAGCTCATTTTGTTCAAATTTGGTTTTACCATATGTATTAGCTAGATAAGTTAAGACCTCACAAAAAGCAAATGCGCTATATTCCATTGCTTGAATACCACCTAATTTACAAGTTCATCACCATTCAGTTCATCACCATTCTTTTTTATATTAAATCATCATCAATATGTTCATAAACTTTCTTGTAAGTACTTATGGTTCTCATATCTATATTCGGAGTTCATCATTAAGTAATGAAACTTCAATTCCATGTCGCCTTTGTGCTTTCACTGTTGAGTTTTACATAACATAGAGGTTTTCATAATCTCATAAGGTGGATACGAGTTTTTCTTAATGAATGCCTTAATTTTCTTCACCGCTTATATATATATATAGGCGTTATTTCTTTAAATGTGTTTTCTTTAGAAACTATTTTCTTAGACCGAAACAATACTCTAGTGATTTGAATTCCCCCTATCAAATCATAACATTGCATGGGGACTCTCGGGGTTTCTTCTCCGTCTTCCAAAGCACGAAACAAACTAATTAGACCTTTACCACATTCTATTGATGTGCTTATGGAAGCGACGATTCAGAGGTTAGGATTGAAACTTCGGTGTTTAAGACTTAGCGGCCATGAGTTCGACCGACCACAGTGGACCCTCTATGGCCCTAGACCCCAGACACCGAAGCCCAATGTCTCATAGCCCGCAACCCAAACAGAACCTTTTCCGCACCTCTGCCTTATAAAACCCGACGAGAACCTATTGTGAAACCCTACAGTACAACAAAAACTACTCTACAAAAACCTCATGCCGCACAAAAAACCGACCCAACCCCGAAGTCCCACCCCCGGGAGTTCTGTGGAGAGGCCCGGCGCCCGAATCCAGATGCGAAAACGAGGAGTGGAGACCAACGGCCTTAATTTTAGAGCTTACCCATAGGCCCCATAGTAGTTCCTTTTTGCGGCTTATATTTAGGATTCTATTATGGAATCTCAAAAAAACTACCATGGGGCCTGTGGGTAGGGATGAGAGTTTAGGGTGGTTTAGAGTTTACGGTGTCGACCCAACGGTGTTTCACGCTTTCTAGGAACTATACGACTTGGCTCCGGAGTGTATGACCTTCCGCTGTTGGCAGCCATGGATCTACGTTCTGTCGTTTATCAAGATCGTGAGAGGCAAGTAGGGTTTATTGTTTAGGCTCTAACACCAAGGCCCACTTATGTTGCTTGGAAGACACATCCCTAGCACCGCAAAACTACTCTCTTGGAACCTCAAACATCTGCATGAGAATCCTCAGGTGCAACAGATAAGGGTGGGGCCTGGATAAACTCAGGCAAAAGATAAACATCTTCAAGAAGACACACCTTAACCCTAAACCCCAAACCCTAAACCGTAAAACCCTACCGATTCCTAAACCCTATCAGCCAAGCCTCAAGCCCGAACAAATCCAAACTGCAGCCTGGATCGGTGACATGACAGAAGTGCTTCCGGGTTTAGGGCCTAGGGCCATTTCAGGGGTTAGGATTTAGGGTTTAAGATGTAGGGTTTAGGGTTGAAGGGGTTGGGGTTTAGGGTTTCAGCCTAGGGTTTAGGGTTAGCCAAGACAAGGGGACTACTGAAGCAACAGCTCGAAACCCGAAGCTCCCAAAGGCCACATAAGCTACAGTATGCTCTAGGATGTTGGAGCACGCTGCAGCACAAGGCAGCATACTTGCAGTCTGCTCCTCTATGACTCACAGCATCACGATTCCATGATTGCCACGATCGCCCACACGACCACCGTCTTACCACAAAGACCACAGCTACTGATGCTCCTATTTCTACTGCAATTACGGATGGCCCGACGGTAGGACAAAGCTCCTCGACGAGAGGAAGCGGTCGAACATGGAGAGCATCTGCCGCAATAACCAAGCGTTGAGGGCTTGGGTATTTAGGCGTTACTGCTTCACGGCGCTAAGGTAGACCGTGTTTCCGTGTCCCTTTGTGCTCAAGATCCCTTGCCCCTGAATCCTTAAGCCCTGAACCACCTAAACCCCTAAACCCCTAAACCCCTAAACCCTAAACCCCTAAACCCTAAACCCTAAACCCCAGCATCTTTAGGATTTTTGAATTTGGTCGACATAGAAAACCCCGAGCCAGCTGGTTACCCCAACAGACGAGTCAAAGTTGCTCAGCGTTCAGGATTCCATGAGTCGAAAACTTAGGGTTTAGGGTTTAGGGTTTAATGCAACCAGCATTGCAGAGTACCGTGCCGCATGCGTTTTATGACTCCGTAGGCCCCGATATAAAGCCGAGGGTAAGGGAATTGCACAAATAGTTTGTCGCGCACAGCCTCAATGGTTCTCTTGCCTGGAAAACCGGCACCGCCTCACCCAGAGAACCCAATACCCCTTAATTAAGGAATATACCTTAAATCATAATATCAAGGCCCCTATAATTGAAGGTATATCCCTTAATTGAGGGGTATTGAGTTCACCGCCTCAGGTATAATATGCAGCACTTTCCGCATCGGTACAAGGAGGTGCCGATGTTCTCGGAGCAGGAGGGGGCCGCCTTATCGGACTACATGAATCAAGGTGTCATACGGGTAGTACTCTTTAGGGTTTAGGGTTTAGGGTTTAGGTTGTTTGAGGGCTACTAGAAGGGCCACCAGAAGGTTTTCTCTGTGTCCGAGAAGCCTGGATCGAAAGAATCATTGTCTAAACGCCCCAACCTGAAATCCTTCGCAGAGGGACCTTACTTCACAGTTGGAGTAGGATTTCAGAGGAGTCGTTGAATCTTGAATCCTAGAACCCTGAGACTTTGCCTAGAGTCTCTACCTTCGGGAGCTTAGACAGAAGGAGTCTGGATTTGGGTCAGGAGCAGTTGGTTTTTTGTTGGGATGTTTCGAGGCAAAGAACCCCTTAATTAAGGAATATACCGTACATTATAGGGGCCTTAATATTATGATTTAAGGTATACAATATTGCTTAATTAAAGGGTTTTGGGTTCTCTGGGTACGTGCATGCTTTCTCTGTCAGAGCCGCAGGTCCATGTTTGTTTTGTTCCTTTGGTGCGTGTATCAGTGCGCCACCACCTCTTAACCTGAGGTCAGATGCTGCATCGATTGATTCATAGTCGTGAACTCGCTTGTCGGCATGTACAGCTTCGCTAGCTAACTTGACCTTGCCAGAGTGCATGCGTTCGTGAAGCGTTCCGTCCCCGCCTTACTGACAGTTACATGTGTCCACATCTACATATTTATTTTTATACATATCCCCTGCACCAAATCTTCCCATCATGCTCTCAGTAAACACTTGAAAGGTCGAAAGCCCTGAAGATGTGCCAACCTTAGATAGCTTAGTTTTGGGGTGCTTTCTCGGGTTTAGGGTTTGGGGCTTTTGGGGGTTCGGGTTCCAGAAGCACGGACTTTGGTCCCAATTCGGGGCTTGAGGGTCCGCCCTGTGTTCATCTTCAGCTGATACTGTGTAATAAGAACCCTGTTCAACCTTTAAGCATATGTAAGTTGTTATAGAGAGCCTGACAAAAGCCTGACCACAAAATTGAAAACAGCCCTTCTCCTCGAGCGTCATAGGATGCCCACTGGTGGACACAGCGCGCCAGCTTCGTTGCTGAGCCGACACCAGCAAAGGAGCCGAAAGCAGTGTCTAGCAAGGCAGGGGTTGAGGGTCTAAACCCCAAACCTTAAACCCTAAACCCCTAAACCCTAAACCTAAACCCTAAACGTCTACTGTAGGGCTTAAGGTTTTAAGTTTGGGTCTAGGGCTTAGGGGTTTAAGTTTTAAGGGTGAAGGCTGTACGGGTCAAAGTTTGCGCGTTTAGGGTTGCTTAGGGGCTCTAGGGTTTAGGGCTTCGCGGTTTAGGATTTAGGGTTTAGGGTTTAGGGTTTACGGCTTCGCGGTTTAGGATTTACGGCTCAAGTTTGGGGTTGGGTGTCAGAGTTCAGGTCTTAGTGAGGGTTGAAGGATGGATCTTCAGGGCTTGAGGCTTACCGTGTTTACTGACGGGCCCTGAAGCAAACTCAGCAAGGAGGGTTGGAGATAGAGTGGCTGACATGTGTGTATATATATATATGTATGTTTATTATCTTAAATCATCATATGTGCATGTTTATGCGCACATACACCTACCTGCCTACCTACCTACTTACCGACCTACCGACCTGCCTAAACCCCTTAATTAAATCCTAAACCCTCAACCCAAAGAGGCCCATATGTTTAAACCCTAAACCCTACAAACCCTAAACCCTGAACCCTGA